GGGGGAGCCAACAGTTTTACACAACTCATAGGCATCATTTAGATACAAACCTTAAATCTGCTGTAATAAAATAAATGCTAAATACATACTGTGAATATATATATATTATATATACACACACACACATTTATTCTTCCCTATACATCCCATCAAAATGGGAATTATTCATTGTAATGAGGCAAATTAAGTTAAAACAATATATTGTATAAGAAAAATTTAAAGGTCACATCTTTAAATTCAATTTCTATTTTCAATTACATTTTGGGAAAAAGCAAGAACATGCTTTCTTTGAAAAGAAGCCTCTTTTCTTGTGTTTCAATTAGAATACTTAGTTTTTAAAAGTTGGAGTAAGTCACACAAGCATACAAATAATACAAGCCCACTTCTGTGACACACTGTAAAAAAAAGTAATGTTTCAAGTGCAATAATTACGTTTATAACCCTTGCCAAGTGATTTTTATAAAAAGTTTATTCTCTTAAATCCAATGCATTCACAGAGTGTTAACACTTTAAATGTTTATCATTTCCACCAACTGCAGCATTATCTAAGTAAACCAAAATAAGCACTTTTATCATAGATATAGTCAATGATTATTAATACTTTTTTAAAAAAAGAACCTAAGTTTCCCCCAAATTTCAGCACAGGTAGTTTAATTGTATGTTTCATTTGTAGATGATTTAAAAAAATAGTGTGTAGAAATGATTCTCCTTACTTAAATGTATTATATGTTATCAACCCACCAAATCAAAAGCAATCGCCAAGCTGAATAAGTTACAAAGAAATAACAACTCTGGCTTGTACAGAAATGTGCAGTGTTTTCAAAGCTCTAAACAGTTACCTACTAATACAAATCTCCACAGCTTAACTTAGATTGGAAGATGAGTTTCACAGTAATGTAATTTTAACCTCCATTTACATTCATTTTATATATTACTAAGATGTTTACTCTATGTCACAATGGTGCTTTCCAGTGTTCACAATTTACAGTTTCAATTTGTACATGTCATTCACTAACATAAGGGACAGTTATTACTACTACAAACTATCCCCCCAAAAAAACCCAAATACCCCACCTTACATGACTTAAAACAGATTAATGCAACATGATTTTTAATATTTTAGCCATTTTCTAAACACCAGCATGTAAACTTGCCTATTTAATATGAGAGCTACAACTTTATTCACTGAGAGATCATGTATTAATTTTCTTCAACTATCTTTCTCACCTTAACTCAAAAATCCCCTGACTTGCTGGCTCTGTTTCTGTGAATTCCAAACTGTGGGGGGTTTTTTTGGAGAAAGGGAAAGCAGGTTATGATAAATACACTGTAAACAGAAAAAGTTTTCCCCAAATTAAGCCTTAAAAAAAAATTCTTTTTACTTCTACACTATTTAACACTTTAAGAGTCAATTACAATGTTTCATCTTTAACACTAACACAAATAAATTACTGTAGGTTAAGTCTGCCCTACCATTTTGGGACCTAAACTTCTACATACATGAACAGAAGAGTAAAATACTTGACTGTTCAGTTCAGAAATTTAGAACAGTTATATGATTTGACTAGACTGGTCAAGGCAGTTAGAAACATACAATTATGTAGGTGGTTGGTTATTTTGCTTCTGGGGGTTGGTAGTCAAAGAACAGAGAGTAACAAATGAAATAACACACAAAAAATTATTTCCTATTTTAGTGGTGGGGGGGGATCACAGGCCAGTGTAAACGTCTGAAGACAAATTTTACCTACCTCCTCAGATCTAAGACATATTTTTCAATTATCTGAATAACCCCCATTCTTTCCTTGAGTATCAAACTGATTGGTAGTCACATCTCCAAGTACAATCAGAGTTTAAAAGCTTGTTGAATGAAATATCAGTAAGGTCAAAAAGAGACTACATATCAAACTGGAAAAAAATCTCAAGTATGTATTACATTCAGTTTTCAAATCATTTACTAACATGACAACAGATTTGGCTTCAATCACTCTTGCGCGCGCGCGCGCACACACACACACACACACACAACAGGCACCCCAGCCACTGATCTGCTTTGCAACACAAGGCCATATAGGCAGAGATGGCATTCTCCAAGCCAAACTTTAAATAGATTAAAAAAAGTAATTTCTAATTTTACAGAAATGCTTCTTCAAAAAATATTTTCTCTCACTCCCTCATCTCCTATACTGAAGGATGTGTACTGTTTTTCCCCAAGCTAAATCTGAACCCTCAAAATTGATTCCAGGCAGATCTCTGCAAATTAAAATCAAAAACAAAAATAGAAAAATTATATTTTTATATATGTATACATATATATATATATTTATACTGATTGGAATCCTCCAGCATTTTAAAATCACTTTAGAGATGATTTTGGGATTCTACTGCTCACAACTCCAAAATCCATAATGATTTAAGGATATACTTTCTCCTGTTTCCTTCCTGGTTACCCTCTCCCCTCCAAAACAGTTCAATATAGCCACGGCTCAAGTTTAATGGGAAGAGAGAGGAGTTTTTGAATAGTTTGTGTTTGTTTTACTTTGGTGATCTGGGTGGCACATATTGTTCTTTGCCGTTACGTCGAGTCACTCCCTGAGGTATAGCCCTGTGGCCAAACTGGCGTCTCTGTTCCCTGATTTTTCCAGCTGCTCCCCTGGGAATGGTATTGCCTCGGAAGCCAGAATAATCCTTACTAGCCCTTGCTTCTGGCTTCTCATGTGGTTTCTCAATGGATTTCTCAGGAGCTCCATTCTCTTCATTTTTGGTGGGAGACACTACATTGGAACGAAGTTCTCGTAGTGGCTGCACAGGAACTGGGGATGGCTCTTTAGGCGGCTTCTGGCACACTTCAGCATAACTTAGCTTTCGGGGTTCCTTTGAAGTGAAGAAAAACAAAAATAAATTATGGCGCACATTCTCTAAGTAATAAAGTACAAAAAGGACAGTATTAACAAGAAAATAAATTACTTTCTAAGAAAGGATAAAGGCACTCTCCTATACAATGCTATTAAAGTGTATCAGTACAATCTTTTTAAAAAAATTTTTATTTATAGAGAGAGTGAGAGGGGGAGGGGGGAGAGAAAAAAAAAACATTGATTTGTTGTTCCGCTTATTTCTGCATTCACTGGTTGCTTCTTATATGTGCCCTGTCCAGGGATTGAGCCTGCAACCTTGGTGTATCGGGACGATACTCTAACTAACTGAGCTACCTGGTCAGGGCCAGCACAATCTTTTAAAAAAAGTACTTTTGTCGCCCTGGCTGGGTGGCACTGTCGGTTGTAGTGTTGTCCTGTACATCAAAAGGCTGCAGGTTTGAATCCCCATCAGGGCACATACCTAGATTGTGAGTTCAATCCCCCGTTAGGGCATGTTTGGGAGGCCACCGATCGATGTTTCTCTCTTACATCAATGTCTCCCCTTCACCTCCAAATCAATAAACACATCCTAGAGTGAGCATAAAAAAAGAAAGCCCTGTCTAGTTTGGCTCAGTGGTTAGAGCACTGGCCTGCGGACTGAAGGGTCCTGGGCTCAATTCCAGCCAAGGGCATGAACCTCAGTTGCAGGCTTGATCCCTGGCCCTGGTCAGGGAGCATGCAGGAGGCAACCAATCGGTGTGTCTCTCTCACATCGATGTCTGTCTCCCCTACTCCCTCTCCACTCTCTCTGAAAAGCAATGGAAAAAATATCCTCGGGTGAGGTTTAAAAAAAAATTTTTTTTAAATAAAAAAAAAAGTATGTACATTTGCTGAAAATAATAAAAACTGTTGCAATTTATATATGAAACAATAATTTCATTTCAGGAATTTATCTGAAGGATTTTCATGTTAGCATTGTTTATAGTAATGAAAAAAACCTGGAAACAACCTAAATGTCTAACAAGGACAGATTAAATTAATAATGGTCCATCCATATGAAGAGATAAAATGGATTCACTCTCTTCCCTACCTAGCTACAAAGAACCCTGAGAGAGATTCTAAGAATCTCTGCAGAGCAGTTGGAAACCAATCACACATTAATAGAAGACTAATTAAAAGTCATAATTATTTCATCTGAAAAAGTAGGCCAACAGAGGTGTTGTGAAAATAGGATGAAGCATGTAAAAAGTCTTTAACAGTTTAACAGTGTTCTTAGCACATAGTAGGTATTCAATATTTGGTAGCTGCTACTCTATTATTATCTTTTTAAAAATGTTTTTATTGATTTCAGAGAAAAAGGGACAGGGAGAGATAGAAACATCAGTTGGCTGCCTCCTGCATGCCCCCTACTGGGGACTGAGCCTCCAACTCTGGCATGTGCCCTGACGGGAATAGAATTGGCAACCTCCTGGTGCATGGGTCAATGCTTAATCAAATGGGCCATATCAGCTGGGCTTAATACTATCTTATTAAAGCACAAGATAAAATGTTCTTTTTAAAAAAAAATTTATTGATTTCAGAGAGAGAGAAAGGGAAAGAAAGAGACACAGGGGAAACACTGATGTGTTGTTCCACTTATTTATGCATTCACTCATTCACTGGTTGATCCCTGTATGTGCCCTGACTGAAGATCAAACCTGAAATCTTGGCATTATCAGGACAATGCTCTAACCAATTAAGCTACCAGGCCAGGGATAAAATGTTCTTAACCTAGAGAAAAGGAAAAGCTGCACCAAAATCCTACTAGTTATATATAAATAAATGAAAGGCCTGGCTGGTCTGGCTCAGATAGCTGAGCATCCTCCTGTGCACCAAGAGGTTGACAGTTCAATTCCTGGTCAGGGCACATGCCTGGGTTACAGGACTGATCCCCAGTAAAATCAATCAATCAATCAAAATAATAGATTATAGAAAAATTCTGTATCGTGTCCCCCCTCCCCCTGGCTTTTCTGTATTTTCCTAATTATAAAAATGATGATTCTGGCCCAGCTGGCATGGTTCAGTGGCTGAGCATTGACCTATGAATCAGTAGGCATAGTTCGATTCTGGTCAGGGGACATGCCAGGGTTTTGGCTCAATCCCCAGTAGGGGGCGTGCAGGAGGCAGCCGATTGATGATTCTCTCTCATCATTGATGTTTCTATCTCCCTCTCCCTGAAATCCTCTCTGAAATCAATAAAAAACATATGTATATAAAAAAGATTCTGGAAATTGAATAAAAATGAGTCTTTGCTCATAGGTTCCACAGACTTGTTACATTCAAGAGGGCCAAAGCCTCTTTATACTAGCCCCAAAATGATACATACAACATAACATAGACAAGAAGCTTCACTTAACCATAATATGATTAGACAAAAAGCAATCAAAAGAAACAGAATGAAAAGTAACTTCTTCAATCCCTCAACATGACTAAAATTCCCCATTTCTTCAGTGACTTTAAGCTCCTTTAGCTTTTTTTGGATGCAGGAAGCTCAATTTGGGTTATTTCCAAATGACTGCTATGACAAAGAGTTATGGGGGAAAAAATTCTCATTATTTAACCCATTATTTTTTTCTCATAAAAAATCCATCAAGCTACCTGTAGGGCCACAGTTACAGCTGCATTTATGTTACTATTACATGGTGAAGCAGTATTTGTCCTTGATGGCTTTGTAGGACTTGGGGAAGAAACTAATATGGTTGTCGGGTTGAGAACATCCTTCTGAACGGTGGATTCCTCTATTAGATCCTTTTCTTGCTGAGTTGTGCTAAGAAAAAAAGAGCTTGACATTAGACTTAGTATAGTACACAGAAACAGGTGAGCAAATATCAGAAAAAAAGTAATCTTAATGTGGAAGATCTTCTATATCGAAACCTGTACCTTAATGCAGGAGGCTCAGCTGTACACAGAGGACTGGTACTCATATTGAGTTTTTGGGCAACGGTGCAATCTGTCTGTTCATCCTCTGCAGGTACTGGGCAACTAACTTGTTTCAACTCTTCATTTTCCTTAAAATAAAGACATATTTTCAAAATTGTACTTAGAGTAAAATACAGCATGGGGAACGCAGTCAATAGGAAATGCAGTCAATAACTATGTATGGTGTCAGGTGGGTACTAGACTCATCAGGGGGATCACTTCATAAGTTATAGAAGTGTCTAACCACTATGCTGTACACCTGAAACTAATAAAAAATTAGACTTCTATAGATACTTCTCCAAATAAGAGATACAAATGGACAACAAGCATATATGAAAAGATGTTCAACATGACTAGACATTAGGGAAACGCAAATCAAAACCACAACGAGAATCCACTTCACACTCACTAGGATGGCTATAATCAGTAAGACAGGAAATAACAAAAGTTAGTTATGATATGGAGATACTGGAACCCTCATACATTGAGATTGGCAATGTAAAATGGTGCGGCCACTCGGCAAAATAGTGAGGCAGTTCCTCAAAAAGTTGTACTTAAGAGTTACCATAATTTACTCTTAGACAGATACCCAAAAGAAAACATTATGTCTGAAAAAACCTATACGAAAATGTTCATAGCAGCATTACTCATAACTGCCAAAAAAGTGAGAACAACCTAAATGTTCATCAACTGGTGAATGAATAAACAAAATGTGGGACAGCAGTCCCCCCTTAGCAACAGGTAATACACTCCAAGAACCCCTTAAACTGGAGTGAGTACTGAACCCTACATATACTATGATTTCCCCTACACATATATACCTACGATAAAGTTTAACTTATAAATTAGGCCCAGTAATACATTAATAACAATAATAAAAAAACAGAACAATTACAACAATATACTGTAATAAAGATTTTGTGAATGTGGTATGTGTCTCTCTCTCAAAATATCTTATTGTACTGTACTTGCCATTTTACTTAAAGGAAACACTCTATAGCTTCTCTTTGGTGTATACAAATCACCAGCATCACTACACTTGTGCTTTAAGGAAAATAAGAGTTTCTTGAACACAAGCACTGTGATACAGTGACAGCTGACTAGATAATGGAGAGAAACTAAAGACCGGGTAGTGTATACAGTGTGGATAAGCTAGACAAAGGGATGATTCACACTCCAGGCATGCTACACAGAACAGCATGCAATTTAGAACTTATGAACTGTTGCCTGCCTGGTGTGGCTCAGTTGGTTGGGCATCATCTGTGCACCGAGGGGGTTGCAAGTTCGGTTCCCAGTAAGGGCTGTGCAGGAGGCAGCCAATATGTGTTGCTATCACATCAATGTTTCTCTCCACCCCCCGCAATCAATTAAATCTTTTAATAAAACTTATGAATTGTTTATTTCTGGAATTTTCCATTTAATATTTTTAAATTGTGGTTGCCGTGGGTAACTGAAACCACAGAAAGCGAAATTGTGGATAAAGGGGGGAACTACTGTATACTGATACAATAAAATGTTATTGCACAATGAAAGGAATAAAGGTACTAACACATGCCACAACAATGGATAAATCTGAGGACATCATGCCAAGTGAAATAAGCTAGCCACGAAAGACAAAATACTCTATATTTTACTTATATGAGGCAACCAGAATAGTCAGATTCATAGAGACAAAGCAGAATGATGGTTGTCAGGGGCTGAGGGAAGGGAGAATGGGATTTGCTGTTTAATGGTAGTGTTTTAGTTTTGTAAGATGAAACGAGTTCTGGAAATTGGTTGCACAACAATGTGAATGTCGGTAACACTACTGAACTGTACATACTTAACAATAGTTAAGATGGTAAATTTATGTTATTTGTATTTCACCACAATTAAAACAAGAAAAATAAATACAAAGATCAAAATTAGGAAAGCCAAAATAAGAAAACCAAGGTCCAATCTCAAATTAAAGAGTTCAAGAAAGAGGTGAAGAATTTATCAAAGAGAAATATAGGAAATTTTTCCTGCATGGAATGTCTTAAGTTTCCAGATTTGAAATAAAGAGCCATAGCAAGGGACAGGTCATTGGAGAATGGGGAAACAAAACCATAGTTTCTGAAATGAATTTCTGGAAGCTAGATTATTTCCTAAGCAAACAACAACAACAACAAACCAAAAAAAAACAACTTAAAAAAACACAAACCCATAAAGGAAACACTGCCAAATATAACCATATTAAAATTAAGAACTTGTTTTTACCCACAAATACTAAAGACTGAAAACAAACCATTAGTGATATACATAACTGACAAATTACTATCCAGAACATTTTTTAAATTCCATGAATCTGTAACATAAGAGATAACCGAATTTAAAAATGTGCCAAATACTTGAAAGACTCCTTGTAAAAGAGGCTCAAATGGCCAACAAACATAACAAAGACAATTTAACCACAATAGCAATTAAAAAAAAAAAAAAGCCCCATCACTCAGCAATCCCACTATGTATATACCCTAGAAATGTTCTTGCTCATATGAAGAGAAAGTTTGAACTTTCACAGTAGTATTGCTTATAATGGCAAACAGACAAAAAACCAAACAAAAAGCTCAAATGCCCATCAACACTAGAACGAATGTTGTATTTTTACAGTAGAATATTATAGGACAGTGAAAAATAGTTACCTGTATCAACACTGATATATTTCATACAACACAGAAGGGAAGAAGTAATGGAAGAATACATATTGTATAATTCCATTTATGCAGTATTCAAAAACAAGCACACTCAACAATGTACTGCTTAGGTTAGCGGTTGGTATACCAAGGCCTGCTGGCCTAATCCAGCCTGTGACTTGTGTTGGTATGACCTACGAGCTAAGAATGGTAAGTTTTTAAAAACAAACAAAAATATGCAACAGCATGTGGTCCACAAAGCCTAAAATATTTACTATCTGGCTTTTTACAGAAAAAGTTTCCTAACCCAGAATGGTAAAACAATAAAGAAAAGCAAGAATATTATTATAGCAAAATCAGGATCATTTATCTCTCAGGAGGAGAAAAGGGAAGAATAGGAAGATCTGTAAACAGGAAGAGGAGACACAGCACACTGCTAAGATACTGGTGTTTTCAGCCCACAATTGTGAGTTGGGGTTACAAAGGGAAGTATGCTTTGCTATTATTCTTCATTAAGAATTTATGTGTATCATACGTCACCAAATATGAGTAGCCATCAACTGTAAAACATACCACTACTTTCTACACTGCCACTTTAACTACAATAGCTTTTAATTAAAAGACAGCTTGATTTTCAAAGGTGAAAAATGTGAATATTAGAATTGACAAAATAACTACAACATTGTACTTTTCTTTAAAAACAAGACAATGAAGTACCTTCAAAATTTCAAGGGAAAAACAGCTCAAATGTCTATCAATAGTAGAATGAATTCTACTAGAGAATTCTACAGAGATAAGTTACTGATCAAGTGTGAGAAAAGAAAAATATTTTCAGAATGCAAGATCTCTACAAGTTTATACTAAAAACCACTTATTCAAGAAGCTTGGGAAGACGTGACCCACCCTAATATGGGAAAGTAAAACAAGAGCAAGAAAAAGAGGGGATCTAAAAAGAGTAAGGAAAATTCTCAGGATGATGGTGAAGAGAAGTCCAAGAACATAGCTGTGCAGGAGGCCACTAAGAATATAAGAAAGGAGAAATAACAACAGTATACTATGAGGCTGTTAAGAAAAAAATATGTAATACTGAGATGTAACTTACAATGATGGCATATCCTAGTCTAACTGGCAATGTTTTTAATTTTCTTAGTGATACTAAAATAATGGGGCATCTTATAATTGATGGTATCCTAGATATGATGAAGTAAAATCTACTGGGTGGATGAGAAGAGTGTGTTGCTTTAAGAGAGCTAAATCCTGCCTGGCCAGGCATGGCTCAGCGGTTGAGCATCGACCTAGGATCCAGGCAATCGGGGTTCAATTCCCGGTCAGGGCACATGCCCGGGGTTGCGGGCTCAATCAATGACTCTCTCATCATTGATGTTTCTATCTCTCTCTCTCCCTCGCCTTTCCTCTCTCTGAAATCAATAAAGACATATTTAAAAAAAAAAATTCATTAAAGAAAAAAAAAGAGAGCTAAATCCTTAGCTTCCAGAATGTAAAGTTAATAGACAACATCCATAACTGACAAATAAAAAAACAGCAGTATAACCATGTTAATCAGAAATACAAGAATAAATGTCAGGAGAAAAAGCTAGAGTTGAAGGTGGTTGCAGGGCCCTATTTCCATTATAAGCCTACATATACTGTGTATATGTACTATTAAAACAAAAATTGAATTAGAAAAAAAGGGCAGAAAATGAGAAAATTTTGTGGGGAATGAGAATTTCCTAAATGAAGAGGTCTACACTCAAAAATAATATAGGATGAGGTATCCCAACCTTTTAACATCCACTCTCCATTATTTGAAAGACTGAACTTAGAATTCTCATTTACATCATTGGTTAATTATAGGCACTTAAGTAGAAATGACACTTTTAAAAAAAATCCTCACCTGAGGATTTTTTTTGTTGTTTTCCCCCCCATTTTCCACCACTTACTCATTATCAAAAATAGTTCAACTCTTCTTGCAAAACGAAACAAAATAGTACATACTGGACACATACATCACATTTTTCTTCCTATGGCTTTAGCCCACCCCCATCCCACCAAGAAACTAAAACTGAGGATATGTTTTTTAATTGATTTTAGATAGAGAAGAAGAAAGGGAGGGGGAGAGAGAGAGAAAGAATGAGAGAAGGAAATATCGATCATTTGCTTCCCCTATAAGCCCTGACCAGGGATCGAACCTGCAACCTAGGTATATATCCTGACCAGGAATCGAACCAGCAACCTTTTGGTGTACGGGATGACACTCCAACGAACTGAGCCACCTGGCCACAGGACTATCATAAATCTTTTTATAATACACAAAGTATGCTGAAAACCCCATGAATAAAAACTATATTAGAAATACTTAAGAACAAATAAAAACCTAAATAATAACTTAAAACAGGCTAATACTATAGTCCCACAAAGTAGAAGATTGGGTGTTTCAGTGTTTACCTTCTCTTTGTAGACACCTTTAACAACATCAGACATCCTACTCTCCAAAACAAGTTCACCTGGCGTTCTTGATGAACTTCCAGGTAAAGGAGGAAAATTTGAGGCTAATAAGTCAAACTTTGGTGTTGGAGCCTTTGCTTCAGCTGTTGAAGGATGGGGTCTCTAAAAGACACAAATCGTAAAACAGGTCACATGGCTATCTCATTCTCTGATTCTGTACCACAAAAGCTGAAAGCTTCAAACAACAAACTCTACCCTAATGCACAGAATTGTTTCCCTATAAACTCTTGGCTTCTCATCTCAGTTGAGCTCTCATTAGTCTTTTTTTTTTTTTTTAACATGGAACGCTTCACAAATTTGCAAGTGATCCTTGCACAGGGCTATGCTATTCTTCTCTGTATTGTTCCGATTTTAGTGTATGTGCTGCCAAAGAGAACATGAGCTCTCATTAGTCTTGACCAATCCTCCTTACCTTTTGTCAGCTCCCTCTCCTGTTTCTTTTATCACACTCCTAAGCCTTCTAATCAATCTCCACTATTCTTTACTTTCTAAATTAGCTATACCCCTTTCATAGCAAAAACCAAAAAAACCATACCTCACATCAATTTGCCATTGTCTTTTCTCCTTCCATATTGTCTCAAGAGAGAACAATATCCTTCCTTGAAAAATCTCATCTTTCCCTTTCACTCTACCACCCTCTATATCCTCTGACAAACTTCTCACTTGCTATACCTCCTCTACTTCCTCACCTCTAAGGCTGCTTTGACAAGTCACCAATGCCTTCCACAGTGCAAAAGCCTGGAGGACTTTGTTCCATGACCTCACCATAGCATTTGGCATGGTAAACATCTTTCTTTTGGAAGCTCATTTCTCCCTTAGCTTCTGTGCTACCCCTCTCTTGATTCTCAGGTATGACAATCATGTGCTATTCTCTCCCTTTCTACTTCTTTTGATGGTTTTGGTTTCTGTACAGTCACTACTTCTCACTTTCCATACTCTCCCTGTGCAAGGATATCCTTTATCCATGTCTACAACTATCATTTATACACAAACAATCCTTAAAACAATCTTATTCACTTTTTGGTCACTTTTGGGCTGCACAACTTTGAAAATTTACCAAAAATTGTTGCATTGTACACTTTAAATACTTTCAGCCCAGATCTTCAGCTGAAACCCAGATATCCATATGCCTGCCTATCAGCCATCTCCACTCAGATTTTGCTTGGATACTTCAAACAACAAAATGAATAATCTCATTTATCACCCCAAAGCCACCTATGCTTCCCAAGATTCCATCCTTGGCCCCTCTTTAAAAATTACCCCCTCTACAGAGAGTACCCTGCCATGATCTCATTTACTCTTATGACTTCAGTTACTATGAGTAAGCTTACAAATCCTAAATTTTATCTCTAGTTAACATCTCTCTCCTGCACAAGGGCACCCCCCCATCCCTGTCCTTCCTATTGGAAAACATCCCTGTCTCCTTTTTCTTCATCTCAATTTTCAGTCCTCAATCTAGGTATTTTCAACGTATGAAACAGATCTCAAACCTAATTCCTCTTATCCTCAATTGTTCAGGGCCACTTAAGGATGTGACTGCTACAATGTTATCCTTAGAAGTTGTTGCCTAAAGTCTCATGGCTGCCCAAAGTATAGAAAGCTATAAATGAAAACAACAACTCTGTTTTAAAGAGTTCATAGTTTGCCCTAAGGACTATTCTTTGTTTCAATGCAATACAGTTTCTTCTTTGAAAATGTGTATGTTTTCAATACTTATAAATGTGATATATATACCCTTATATGTATATGCATGACAATCAGTAAGCTATGTGTATACTACTTAGATATGTATATATTTCACTACTTACACATGTAAAATAAGCATTATATTACACATTTATGATATATCTGTAAATTCTAGGCAGGATTTTCTTGAGATCTCTTCCTACACCATTTTTATTCCTCAATACTTTTAGGCCCCAGTTAAGAGATGGTAAATAGTCACTATGAACAAACCACACACACACAAATCAAAAAATAAATAATTTGAAGTGTTAAGATTTAAGTAAGAACATGTCTAGAACTATTAACATTTTTCTTTAAGTGATTTTATAGGATTAGTGGATATAAGAATCAATGGTAGGTAGAAAATTGCGGCTAAACAACAATAAATAGTATGAGTTTCTAACACCATCCAACAGAGCTTTAAAAATAAATGTCTTATCAGACTAGCAAAAAATCATATCCTGCCCTGATCAGTGTGGCTCAGTTGGTTGAGCAGAATCCTATACACTGAAAAGGTTACTGGTTTGATTCTTGGTCAGGGCACATGCCCAGGTTGTGGGCTTGATTCCTGGTGCGGGGGCATGCAGGAGGCAAGCTGATCGATGTTACACTCTCACATAAATGTCTCTCTCTCTCCCTCTCCCTTTCTCTCTAAAAATCAATAAACTATTCTTCTTTTTTTTTTTTAAATACTCTATAAGGCTATGGATAAATAGGAACTTTGTTTTGTTTGTTGGAATGAAAATCAGTACAACCCCTATAGAAAGCTACTTAGTAGCAACTTATTAAATTGTGACCCAGAAATCCCACTTCTAGAGATTCTCCTTCAGATATTATTGCACACATAGGAAATCACTGCACTGTTTGTAATAGCACTTTTGCATGATCAAAAGATTCAAATTGCTTAAATGTCCATTTAAACTTTTCATACCATACTTTCATATATTTGATTTTTAAACCATGTGAAAATATTAGGTATTCAAGTAATATTTTAATTTTTTATTTATTTATTTTTAATATGTCTTTATTGATTTCAGAGAGAGGAAAAGAGAGGGAGAGAGAGAGGTAGAAACATCAATGATGAGAGAGTCGTCATTGATCAGCTGCCTCCTGCATGCCCCCGACTGGGGATCGAGCCCGCAACCTGGGTATCTTCCCTGACAAGGAATCGAACCCCAATCGCCTGGATCCTAGGTTGACCCTCAACCACTGAGCCACACTGGGCCGGGCTCAGCGGTTGAGCGTTGACCTAGGATCCAGGCGATCATGGTTCGATTCCTGGTCAGGGCACATGCCCAGGTTGCGGGCTCGATCCCCAGTCAGGGGTGTGCAGGAGGCAGCCGATCAGTGACGACTCTCTCATCATTGATGTTTTCAACTCTCTCTCTCCCCCTCTCCCTTCCTCTCCCTGAAATCAATAAAGATATATTAAAAGAAAAAAAAAAAGAGCAGCACAGGTCAAATTTCTAACTGTATGTAAACTTTAAGGTTGGAGGAAGTGTGATAATGGTATGTATATTTCAATGTCAAGCACAGCCTTTATCTACCTTCACTGCATACTATAATCAATAAAACAAAAACCCAGAAAACCAAAGGAGATCACAAGTAAATGCCATAGCAAATCACAAAAGAAAAAAAATGGACAGAAGTAATTAAAAGTAAAAATTACTTACTGGAATTCGGTCATCTTCTCGTCGTCTTCGACCTCTGAAAAGAGTTCTCCTTTTAACAATGACACAAAAAGGGGGTGGTGGGAGGGAGAACTTATAAGTTTCTTCAAATTTATGTATTCTATCAAAAATAAGTGAATTTCTATTTTAAGTATCTATACTTCTAAATCCCATTATTGTTAAAAGATAAATATATATTCTTCTGAAGGGATCCTGAGCTAATCTACCAAAAACTTCAACTACTATCACCATCACCACCATGAAGTAAGTTGGGCACATTTTTATTAGAAGTACTCTCTCCACACCAGAAGCAGATCAGGGTTCAGTTTTGCTTTGTTCAGGAAGGTTAGGTAATGCATATAACCCCATTCCCTTAGTTTAGAAGTTGTAAGAAATTAGCTCTGGCCAGGTAGCTCAGTTGGTTTTAGAGCACTGTTCCAATACACCAAGGTTGCAGGTTCGATCCCAATCAGGGCACATACAAGAAGCAACCAATGGAGATTCCAAGATGGTGGCAGATTAAGTAGAAGCTACACTGTCACCCTCCCAGGACCAAACTGGAATTACAACTAAATAATATAGGAAAATCATCTTGAATAATCAATTGAAGACTAGGAGGAGAGAACCCTCATAACCAAGGATGAAAAGTGGAGACCACATAGAGACTGGTGGAAGTGCAGAGGTGTTAGAGGACTGGGCACCCACAGACAGCAACTGAAGGTCCGGAAGGATATCTCAGGCTGGGGGGTTCTCACTAAGAACTCTGGGGTCTAAACCCCAAGCTGGGTTCCACATCTCAGAGCACCAGTTGAGAAAGGTACCCACATAACATCTGGCTGTGAAACTCAGCAGGGTTTCTGTCTGCCAGGGAGAGATGGCTGGAAATGCAGGCATTCTCTTAAAGGGCGAACGCACAAAATTTTGTGTGCAGCCACTAATCTTGGGCTCTGGCAGAGGGAGGGCAGAATGGACTAGAGTTGTGTGAGGAGAATCTAGGGTGTGAGCTCTGGGAATAGAACTCAGAGGGCACCCCTCTGGATTCCTGTGCTGAGTCATTCCCCCATACTGCAGAGGACATCTTTCTCAGGTAGACCTTTACCATCCAGGCNAGCCATTCCCCCATACAGCAGAGGGCATCTTTCTCAGGCAGACATTTACCTTCCAAGCACCTTTTGTCTGGGCGGTGGGGGGGGGGGGCAATTGCCCCACCCACTGAAAACCTCTCACCCCACCCTGAGGAGTTAACACCTTGATGTGTTCTATAGCCTGAGACTCATTAAGAGACTAACAATCAGCCTGCAGGCAAGAGGTGGATCTCTGGGTGCTTTGAGTCTCTGCCTGATCTGCTTCTGGACCCAGGCCTTGCAAAAGCAGACCTTGGTCCATTTCAAATGTACCAGTCCCAGCAGAGTGAGCCACAAGCTGTGGGTCGCTGATAGCTCCAAACAGGGTACTCAAGGCCAGTCACAAACAGCATGTGACATAGGCCTGCACCAAAGACCCTCCAAAAAGACTAGGAGTCCTAGCAGATCTACCTAATATATAGAAACAAACTCATACAGGCAACCAAAACAGGGAGACTAAAAAGCCCCAAATGAAATAACAAGGGAGTTCTCCAGAAGAGGAGCTAAAAGAAATGGAGATAAGCAATCTACCAGACATAGAGTTCAGAATACTGATTATAAGGATGCTCAACAGCATGAGAAAATATATGGAAAATATGAAGAAAATTAAGAATGACAGAGCAGAAATAAAGAATACATTGGAAGGAAAAACCAGCAGATTAGGGGAAGCTGAGGATCGAATCAGAGAATTAGAAGACAGGGTAGAAAAAAATCACTCAATCAGAGAAACAAAAAGAAAAAATCAATTAGAAAACAGGCGGACAGTATAAAGGAGCTGTGGGACAAAATGAAACCTAACAATATTTGCACCACAGGAATACCAGAAGGGGAAGAAAGTGACCAAGAGATAGAGAGCCTGTTTTGAAGAAATAATGGCAGAAAACTTCCCTAACCTGGTCAAGGAAAAAGACACAAGTTCAGGAGGCACAGAGAGTCCCAAACAAGAAGAACCCAAAGAGGTCCACGCCTAGACACACCATTAATTAAAATGGCAAGAATTCAAGACAAAGAGAGAATCTTAAGGGCAGCAAGAGAAAAGTAACTTATTCCCTACAAAGGAGCTCCCATAAGGATGTCAGCTAATTTCACATCAGAAACTTTACAGGCCAAAAGGGAATGGAATGATGTAGTCAAAGTAATGAAAAGCAAGGATCTGAAACCAAGACTACTCTATCCAGCAAGGCTATCATTCAAAATAGATGGTGAAATCAAGCACTTCCCAGACAAGAAAGGGCTAAAGGAGTTTATCACCACCAAATCAGCATTGCAAAAAATGTTAAAGGAACTAAATGTTCTAATCAAAAGACATAGGGTAGGTGAATGAGTAAGAAAATATGACCCAAATATATGCTGTCTACAAGAGACCCACCTCAGAACAAAAGATTCACACAAGCTAAGAGTGAAGGGATACAAAAAATTCCACTGAAATGGAATAAAAAAAATTTTTTTAAAGCTGGGATAATAATACTCATATCTGACAAAACAGACTTCAAAATGAAGGCCATAACAGACAATAAAGATCACTACATAATACCAAAGAAATCGATCCAATAAGAGGATATAACTGTGGTAAACATATATGCAGTCAATATAGGAGCACCTAAATATATAAAAAAGCTTCTGGAGGACTTTAAGGGAGAGATTGACAACAATATAGTCATAGTAGGGGACTTGAACACCTCACTGACTTTACTGGATAGATCTTCCAGACAAAAAATCAACAAAGAAACAGTGACTCTAAATGACACACTAGATCAGAGGGATTTAACTGATATTTACAGAACATTTCGCCCCAACGCCACAGAATGTAGTCTTCTCAAGTGCACATGGGACATTCTCAAAGATAGATCATATGTTAGGACACAAAACAAGGGTCTAAAAGTTCAAGAAGACTGAAATCATATCAAGCATCTTCTCGGAAATACTACTGGTGGCACTGTAGACTGGTGCAGCCACTATGGAAAACAGTATGGAGTTTCCTCACAAAATTAAATATGGAACTGTCATTTGACCCAGTGATCCCACTTCTAGGAATAGATTCTAAGAAATCAGAAAGAATTTATGCACTCCTATGTTCATAGCAGTGCAATTTATAATAGCTAAGACCTGGAAACAGCCCAAGTGCCCATCAGCAGACAAGTGGATAAAAAAGCTGTGGTACATTTTCACCATGGAATACTATGCAGCTGTAAGAAGGATCTCTTACCCTTTGAGACAGAATGGAGAAACCTGGAGAGTATTATGCTAAGCGAAATAAGCCAAATAGAGAAAGACAAATATCACACGATCTCACTCATATGTGGAATCTAATGAGCAAAACAAACCGATGAACAAAATAGATCCAGAGACATAGAAGCACAGAACAGACGAATCACAGAGGGAAAGCGGGGGTGGGTGGGAGAAATTAACCTAAGAACTTATATGCATAATTCATGGACACAGACAATAGTGTGGTGAAGGCCTGGAAGGCGGTGTAGGGTGGTGGGGATCAATGGGGGGGAAAAGGAGAGATCTGTGATACTTTCAATAATAAATTAAACAAACAAAAACGAAGCAACCAATGAATGCATAAATAAATGGAACAATAAATCACTTGCTCCCCTTTTCCTTTCTCTCTCTCAAGTCAATCAAAAAATAAGTTGTAAAAAATTAAAACTATAATGTAGATGGTTTTATCTTTCTAAACAATTCTTTTCTCTGAACTATAAAGAATTTCAGAATAACTTTTATAAACCTGAGTCAGCTATATTCTATATAAACACTCTAAATTTCTTAATTATGAAAAACTATTAATCCATATTATGTAAAAATGTATTCATTTAGCATACACCAATAATTAAGTCTAACACTAGATCATGGTTTTCAAATATTCACTTACGATCAAAGGAGTTTTATATGCTTTATTTCCTTACCTGCCCCTACCATAGTCCCCATTCTGTTCAATTTGCAAAATCGGGGTCTCTTTTGGAAGATAGCTTTGCTCCTGATGCCCGGTTACTATAGGGTTATGTCGTTCAGTTGTAAAGTTCCTTGAACCAGATCTGTTTACTGGTCCATCCCCCAGTGACACAGATCCTTCTGTTGAGTGTTCTGAAACACTTGATGACCTAAAATGAGGCTTCACACTATAAGAAATATAAAATTGTATACATGAAAGGATATATCAAGACAGACAGAATATCTTTCTTAATGGTAGAAACTCAAACTCTTAATAGGTCATGTAAAAACTGCTTTTTGCTATATCCTGATTTTCCATTAAGTTAATCATAAAATTGTTGTATAGAAATGTAAAGTCTTTCATGTCCCACATATATTATTTCTAAAAGGCAAAGAATTTTGACATTAAAAACTTGTTTGGGGGGAAAAAAAAAACTTGTCTGGAGACATTTGGGGGAAGATTCAAAGTTCTCCTTATTCAGAGATACTCAGAATAAAACTAGGATTTTAGCTACTTTCTATAACATGAGCTGCATTCTTGACATATTTAAATCAGCCAGGATTTAAGCTTATTAATGAGTCTATGCCATGCCTGCTCAATGGGGCAATACCTCCCACAAAGGGAGTAAAAACTGGTTGGGGGATGCGGGGAGAATCTTAACCGTTACTAATTTTATGTATAAAGTACAGATATACAAATATTACATAGACAGATTACATAATCTCTAGTATTAAATTCTCATTGGGGGAGCCCTGACCGGTGTGGCTCAGTTGGTTGAGCATCTTCCTATGCACCTAGTAGTCGTTGGTTTGATTCTCAGTTGGGGAGCATGCCCAGGTTGTAAGTTCGAACCATCCTCAGTAGGGGGTGTGCAGGAGGCAGCCAATTGAGGTTTCTCTCTCTCCACAAATGTTTTCTTTCTTTCTCCCTCTTTAAAAAAAAA